TTTTTTTTTTTTTTTTTTTTTTTTGTAATGTTCTTCTTTACACTTCTATATGGAGTTTCTATCTTTGGAGCGTTAGTCTCTTTTCATTTCTTCAATGAAAAGTTTTGTTTCTTGTTAAAAAAAAAAAAAGTACAGTAGTCAAACCCTAACATGCTGGTCAATCCAACTCAAATAAAACAATAACTAAAGAAAAGTAATATAAAAAGGAAATCAAATCCTCTTTTACAATTTTAAAATAATAATAGCATTGATAAAGTAAAAACCAATGGGAAGTACATGAAACCGTAGAGGGGATACTTTCATCTCCTCTTTAGACTTAGTATGAGTGCTTTTTTTTAGCATTAGTCTCATTTCACTTCTTCAAAAAAGTTTCATTTCCCTACAAGAATATCATATAGTAAAAAAAAGATAAGAAGTAGAGGTCTTCAATGACGTGAACAGTGGGAAAGGCATGGCATGGGAGAGGTACAGAGAGAAAAGTCAGGCTCTTGCTGATTCTATGAGTCTATAAGAGTAGCTCGTCTAATTCAAGACTCCAAAAAAAAATTAAAATAATCCAAAAGATCTTTTTGTCTTGTGAAAGATCTTTTGTCTTGTGTTGTGATGGTCAGTTATTCTTGTGTGAAGTCGAATGGCATGTTTTAAGAAGTATTCAAGTTGATTAGTCATCAAACTTGTGGAGTGTTTTGAATCTCGGAGAAGTAAGGGGTTGCATTCTTGCTTTAAGGTATTCATCCACAAAGGATGTGTCACCCTTGGCTATATGACACATTCTATGAGGTGTAGGGGTCAGCATACCCAAAGGTAAGGAGAGTGTAACTGGATCAAAAAGCTTGAATGTACATATCCTTGTTAGGTTTCACAGTCTCTCTTTAGGCCTCGATCACTAAGAATCCAACACAATAAAAAAAACATGAAGTACAAAACATTGCAAGAGAGCGACACATCCTATGAGGTGATGAAAAGAAAAGGATGAGGTGATGAAAAGAAAAGGAAATTTAAAAAACTCTACAGCAGTACAAGTGTAGGAAAAATAAATAAAATTGGAAGCAAAATACTAGCTATCAAATTCTTTCGGCAAGCAAAATAGACCATTGTGATTTCAGATATCATAACTTGCAGACTTCATGAAGCAATTTCCATAAAATCATTTTCTCTTGATTAATCATTTAAAGTCATAAACCTCTTTTACAGTTGAAAATTGTAAATGGGTGTTTGAATACGGCTAAAATGACACGAGAACTTTAAGCTCGCTATAATTGGCATAAAATGTTACCTTAATTCCAAGTGGGAGCCGGGACAACCATTCTTCACAGTCCCATCTTCTAACTCAGGTTTAGAAGCAGATGAATCCGATACTTCTTTTCTTAAAGATTCAGCATCCAATGGCTGCCTCACATTGCTATCACTCCCGGATGAGTTGCTGCTATTATTTTCGCAACATAATTGAGCCATAGTCCCATTAAGTCCGTCTTCACAGTGTCGGGAGAAGGCATCCAATGGACAGAAAAAGGCAGCAGAGATGGTGTTCGCCAGATCTTTAATTTTAACTATGCGCAAAATACAACAAAGCAAATACAGAGAAGTGACAGCTCCAATATGAATTCCCTGGATGTTCAAAGTTCAAACTACCAATGGTCACAAAAAAAAATGCTATGAAGTAGATAAGATTTGTTTACTCATAAATGATACAGGTATGAGACTGAACTTGAAAAACAGTACAATTTATCAAAAAGGAACAATCCGCTTATGAAGGCAGCTAGATAAATAACCTAAAAGCATTCAAAGCCTAACCACTAAGAATTCTTAGAGATTAAAATTCATTACCTACCTCAGATTTAATAACTAGCTCATGCTGAAATGACTCGAGATTCTCTCACACAAGTGCAAGGCATGGATGTAGCCAGGTAGAGGGTTTTGTTCTAACAATAGAAAAACTAGAAATTATAGTGGCCATAAAAGGATTTGAACGCACTAACCATATATATGTATATATATGTATGTATGTATGTATGTATGTATGTATGTATGTATGTGTGTATGTATGTACATCTTGGACATATCTTGGACATGTCAATGAAGTCCCATATAAAGATGCTCCAAGTCTTTTTGAAAAAATCAATTGAGAATCCACAGGAGTATCTTATTGCTGAGTGAATTGAAGCTCCTCTAATTTCCTCTTCCTCACATGCACTCCCAGCCAAGAGCTTGAATCAGCACTACCGAAAGTCTCAGTTAAGATTAAGGAGGATCCAATTTAAGTTAATTATCTTTGATATAAAGTTGGAAAAAGAAAACAAAAAACAATCAGGATTCTCTATTTTCTATTCAAACTCAGAAACTTGGCACTAGAATCTATGAGCTCCATATGATACTTTTTTCTTCTCAGTTCTCATAGAGTAGATATTTGGAAATAAAGAGAGTTTTCATTTCCATCAAGAAGCCACAGTTTCTTATAGTGATGATTCCATGATGTAGCTTCTTTTCAAGTAGGATCATGAAGAGTTATTTCCAGGGATTTTCTAACATCAAAATCCACTGGGGAGAGAACACAAACCTCCTCCAAAGAATCCAACTTATCAACATCCTTGGAATACTTAGCTTCTTGTGACTTATCTTGCCAAAATAATATTGGTCCTACAATTTCACTCCAAGGCCTTTAAGTAGTAGCACATAAGGAAATGTCCAAGCTGTCAGTTGGCAAGAATGATTATCCATCGTTAATCACAAAGATCCAGGAATTTGGGTTCACTAAATCATATATTTTCAAACCAGAAGGCAGTGGGACCTTATCTGAAATTACCTATCTTGAGCATGACAGGAAGTGAATAAGAGATTGTCCTGGGAAGCATTCCAGCTGAGGACTGCTGAAATCTTTGCACCTGAACACGAGAGAAGAAAAATTGAAAGATTTACTATGGTGGGACCAAGTGATAAAATCGATTGAGCATTGGAATGTTTAAAGTAGCAAGACATCGATTTTTGTGGATTTTCTGAAGAATCAAAAAGGAGGTTCCTGATTTTAATCCACCCACCATAAGAATGAACCATCTGGTTTTTAATACATTTTCCCACACCCCATGGTTGGAAAGAGAGCTGAAAGAATCCAAATACGCACCAATCCTATTGGTAACATACTTGATATTTATATTTTTCATTTCAATAGAGCTTTAACTGGATGTAAAGGGCTTCAAGGAGAAGGAACGTCAGTGAGTTCCCAAAGCTTGGAGGATTTTGTACCAACCATCATGGGAATAATCTCCTTTCATCGGAAGACTCCTCGAGTGGCCTCTTGACCAACAGGATCCTTTTCTTATGTCTCATCATCACTTCTTGGCTACAAAGAGTACCTCCTTCTACCATGGTTATGTTAAAGTAATTTGGAAAGATAAATTTCCCACCAAAGTTAAATTTTTTCTTTAGGAGGAGATCATAAGCAAGATAAACATATGGATTATATGCAAAATAAAAAATAAAAAATAAAACCCTCCTACTGCTCTCTCCCCAAATAATTGCTGCCTCCCCAAGTTGAACAACGCGTCCCTAGAACCATATATATATGAGTCATTGCCTCTTCTTTTTAGAAGGCTAGTAGTCTATTACTCAGGCTTCTGGATGATATACCTCTCTTCATAACAATATAGTGATTAATCTCTTCAAAAGGCAATCCAAATATTTATGTTAGAACTTGATCAGAAGCTTACATTAGACAACTTGGATTGAAATAAATAACAGAAAACTTTCGGCAAGGAGATCAACTACATTCCCATTTTACCTCAATTTGCACACAGCAGCTCTTGGGGCAAACTAGACAAACTCTTATTGTATTTACTCCCTTAGTAAGATTTGTACTAATTGGAAGGGTTCTTTGCAATCTCAATTATATTTTTGTATATTTCATTTCTTTTTTTTTTTTCTTTTTTTTTGTAGGAAACTGAAACCATTTCATTGATGTATGAAATAAATACAAGTCCTATCAAAAAGATAACTGCAATAAACACCTCACTGAGACTATGAAGGTTGTCAAACTATAATCACAAAAGGGAAGATAATGTTTACTCCACAAAATAGCAAGGTAAATAATAGAATCAATGAAGGAACCAATGCGTTGTTGCTTATTGTGAAATGTGAGAATTCCTTTCCAACCATAAATTCAATAAGAAAGCAAATAAAGAGTTGTGCAAAGTATCTTCTTTTCCTACTTGAGAAGTGTATAGATATCACCTAAACGAGCAGTGAACCAGCAAAAGCTTGCTAAAAATAGCTCCAGATGGCAGATGCATATTGGCAATCACTAAAAAGATGACTTTGTGTTTCATTGCTCCTTAAACAAAGATAACAGCTAGGAGAAATGGAAATCCATGTAGATTTTTGTTGAAGTTTGTCGAAGGTGTTCATACAAGTATGGCCAAGTTCCCAAACAAAGAATTGGACTTTTCCGGGAGAACAACTTGTTCGTAACTGGGAGCAAAAATCACCATTTGCCAAATTGCCCGAATATGCAAGGTTCTTGGTTTGTGAAGAACAACCCATCATTCTCTAAACCCAAACCCATCTATCTTCCTGTTGCAAGATTTTGCTGGTTCTCTAAAGTCCAAGCCCAAATTGCCCGAATATGTAAGATTTTTTCCACCCAAATAACATTTTCCTCAACCCTCTTTTCATTGAAGTACTTTTGAGTATAATGAAAGAACACACAGCCTAGTGAAGCAAGCATGGAACCAAGATAGGGAATATTTAGCAACTGTGAGGGAAAAGATTAGGTTGATTGTGGTTCCTATAATACAGAAAATGTTGGTATTCTTGGGCTCACTACTATGGAAATGGTCTTTCTTTCGACCCTGAAAGATAGGCTTGATAGTGGCATCATTCACGAACTTAATGTGTACCAGAATACATTCAAAAGGGTGTTGAGGCATGGCTGGAAGGGCAAGGATAGTGGCTGACGAGAGGGGAAGAGTGAGAAGAAAGGAAATGGGAGAAGGGGAAGAGAGACGTGAACATTCTAGCATGAGAAGGATAGATTACAAGTTCTAGAGTTGTATATTTCATTACATTAAGCAATATGCTTCGCTTTCAAAAAATAAGAAATAAAAAATAAAAAGAAGAAAAATAAAGAAATGAGGAATCTGAATGGCCAGTGAATAAAGGAAGTATAAGACAATATAACGCTTGCAAAGTTTTCTCCTAGGGCCTTAGGTGGAGTTCCTTAGCTAAGGCTACTTTCGAGATAAGATGGACATATACTGTCAGTAATTACCCCATTTTTTAGTTTTCTAATGAGAGGTTGTCTTATCCTTGCCTTTTGGAATTTCAATAAATTGTTTCTAATCAAAACAATTATTATCAAAATGCCAAAAACACTCCTATCAGAGAAAATGTTGAAATAAGACGTGATCGCAATGTTGTTAAGTGTATGATTTAAAAATAAATGACATAAAGGATGAGGAGAGAGTAAGAAAATGTCATACATTAACAGCCTCTATCCTCAAAGACGGAAGAAGCAAAGGAAATATTAAGTGTCGCAAGATGTTATCAGTTATTAACATTCCCACGTCAGGAATCCCTGCAGAAATAACGTCACTAATATAGTATAGATTGTCTTCAATTTCATCTACAGCAGCAAGAATTGTAGAAGTTGAGAGCTCAGTGCTTCTGTAACCAAATAGACATTTAAAGTCATGGTTATCTTCTATGCAATCCTATAATAATTAAAATAATAATAATAAATAAAATAAAAATGTTCTTACCTCACTGTCTCAAAGACCAACTCATTCAACTTAATACACTGCTTCCTAAAAAAGTTAACTAAATTTGAGAAATATTCTCCATGAGGAGGGCTGGTGATGAATCTATTGACATAATCATCTCCAACTGAAATCAAAATTAGGACATTACGAAGCCTATCAACTTACCATGATATTATTAATCAGAGAAGTATATAAGGAAATAGTCGCAAAGACAAACTAACCATGGTATACATTAAGCGTCAAAGCCCGAACTGCTGTGCGGATCATAGTTTCTTCATGAAAAGCAAACCGTATAGCCTCTACATACATTGGAAAAGATACTACTTTATCCTACATGGAAAAATCTCATTGTAAGAACAAAATCACAAGTACACATTTACCAACAATCTGTGAACAAAAACCATATACTTAGTATGAACAATGTCTAATAAAGAGACCTATCCTAAATAAAAGTATTAACTGTTGGGAATTAGGCAGATCCTCTCTTTATAATTGAAAATTGATTGTCACATAAATGTGTTTCTTAATTGCATCTTCCATATGCAGCTGTATAAATTCAATTAGCAACAAAATAGTGGTCCTGCTAGCCGCTAAAGACCTTTCCTTTTTTAACGTATGGTACAAATACTACTATTCCTACAAGATTAAGTAAAGAAAAGTATGTAATCAACTTGTTGGTTTGCATGCAATGGAATCTAAGGGTGATCATCAGTCCGTCAGCGTTGGTTTTCGGTTCAAACCAGCACTGACCATCAACATATTGGTTTCCAACAATCGGTTTTGGAGAGGTTGGTTACACTGACTGACCATTCATACTGGCAGTAGGTTGGTTTTGGTAAGTTTCATGACTTTCATGAACTGAACGAAACCAAAAAAGAAGGAAAAGGGAGAAGAAAGAAGAAAAAGAAAAGAGAAAAGAAAAGGAGAAGACAAGAAAGAATAAAGGAAGGAGAGAAGGATGAAAAAGAACAAAAGAAGGAGAAAGGGAGAAAAGGACTCAAAATCTGAAGGACACGAGCGAGAGATAGAGATTGAGGAAATTAGGAAAAAAAAATAGTAAACAAATAAATTCCCGAGTAGCTGCTGCAGCAGCATGACATTTTTCTTTTTCTTTTTTTTTTTTTTTCTTTTTCCAATCATTTTGGACAGTGTGAGCCCTTTTCGGGCTCACTGATCAACCAATGGTAAGCTTTTAATATGCAAAACCAACTGACCGAGGTTGGTTCGGTCAGCTTTAGTCAGTCAACTTGGTTTTCTCATCCAATAGTGGATGCATTACTTCACTCCAAACCAATTCCTTCCATGCCATCACCACAAGTCAGCTTATCAACTCTCAGAAAACAAAATATAAATTTTTTAGGATATCATTACTCGAGTGTTTGACTTTAGTAGAAAGCATAATCAAATTGAATTGAAGAATTTGCTATAAGAATTTGCTAGTTAAACACCCACATATCCCTAATAACTATAGCCTTTAAAGTATAAACACTTTTATAGTGACAGCCTTACATTGTGTCGTTTTGGTCTTTAAAGTCTGAACATTTTTGTACTTACAAGCTTACAGGTTTGTTACCAAGTGGAGATCATTATTGTAACCTTGTCATCCACTGTACATTCCTCTTCTAATGAAATCTAAATTCTCATCGATATATGTTTTTGACCCTAATAATATCATCTCCTCAGGAGCTTTATGTATTCAATATTGGAAAAAAATACTCAATTGTATTTTAGATTAGAGAATCACATAACATAAGTATGCAAGAGAACCCTAAAGTGAAGGAATGGTCAATAACAATAATGGACAACTATGCATAATAATAGATATTATAACACTTCACTCTGATCAATATATCGTCTTCAAGATTTATTTCCCAAAGTCCAAGAATTGTTTGACAAAATTCCATTATTTAACCCACACTACTTTTAACATTTTCATGATTGTTTCTAGAATATCCATCGATCCTTTTGTGAAATGAATATCATAGACATGTTTCTCCTTCTGTTGACCCGTATGCTTTAGCAAATGTACAAACACATTTATAATTGAGACATAAAGTAGTTTTAGCATCTGCCCCAAATGATACATATTAAATGTGATAACAAGCATACATATTAAATGTGATAAAAATAATACTTGAAAAGATTGAACACAATATGTATAACAAGCAAAACTTACCTTTTGAGTTTTCACAAGAAGGGAGATTGTGTTCTTGTTCAGCTTTCCACTAATTGCTCTTATAAAAACCATGAGAACATATTCATAGTTGTCAGATGACCAAAAAAATAAAGCAGATAATACCAAGAAAAAACTATATGTAAAAGAAACTACTTTGTTGTAAGGAAATGCAAACAATTCAAAACAAACCTTAAGAAAGATATATAGTAAGACAACAACTCATCACTCCGGAAATCAAATGCATATGTTATTAGCTTGTTCATATGTTCAGTACTGAATAGGTAATCTGCAAGAGACCCAAAATGGTCAATTCCATAAACAGAAGTAGGAAGATTGAATCCGTTTACGAAGTTATATTCAGAAAATTACATATAGCATGTTCACTTTTAAGGTTCTGAATTATAATGCTCATTGTCTGCAACAACTGAAGTGAAACACTTGCAGTCCTGCTAATTGTCAAAATTCGTACAAATTCTGCCATGATCTGCTTCTCCATGAAAAACCTGAAAACAGCCAGAAGTACATAAAAGTTCTGGAATATTATAAATTTACCTAGAAACAATAAGCAATAAAAAAAAAAGCCTCACTCGAAAAATGATGCATCGTGCTGGTCACCGTAAGTTATCAACTCTGATATCGATCGCAGCGCCTCAACAACAAAATCCTTCATCCAGGTATATAATTAAATAGTGCTATTACATATCCATGAAAATTCTTATTTAACACATTACCACTGGAAAGGAAAAATCAAGAAGCATTTTTTTACCTTATTAACCTCATTGACTATTTGAATCTTTAGCAGCTGATCAGTTAAATACCTGTGTCCCAGTAAATTTAACAATTTTTTTGAAGTGAAACAGAATCAAGAAATATGATGCAAAGCCTATCATGTCCTGAACAAGCAACATGTACTGTAAAAACGTTTTTAAGATAACAAGAACATCATTTCACACAAAAGGATTAAAATTAGTTATGTTTTACAATAAATATGATGAATTTAAGATGATGTGGAAATGTATAGAGTAGGAGCTTTGGAATATTTGGTCCCTACTAAAGTTTTAAAAAAATGAATCTATCCAGATCAAATATCTATGCCAATAATCTTGTCTTTCCTTTATCTTTTTCTTTCATTTTCTTCTTCTTCTTCTTCTGCTTTCCTTTCTCTTTTTCTTTTCTTATTAGTAAGTAGACGAATATTCATTGTATATCTATATTGGACTTGAGATTTTGCGTTGTATTTTTCAGTATGTATACTCAAATGTTCAGTGAGATGACATCCCTATTGATGGAATCACTATTAAGGAATATTTGTGTAATTAAGAGATATTTATGTAATCCCTTTGAATAAGGAAAATATTTCCTAATATCTAGTCGGTTGTCTATCTTTCTCATTGTGGATTCCGATTCAGCGCTTTCACCAAAATCCCATTTTCCAACCCCTACCCTTTCCCTTTCAGTCAAGCCTTTTTTAAAAAATATCCAGTAAAATATATCTAAATGTTCACTAGAACCTCAAGTTTTTTTCCCCGATGGCTTTCAGACTGTATAAGTTGGGCACTTAAGTTCAATATAGTATCCTGACTCTGGACTTGTATTTTAGACCTCTTAGAAGCTTGTAACTATGTTATTGGATACACCAGACCTAGTTTTTTTGCTATTGTGTGGGGTACATGGCTAGAGAAGAACAGTAAGATTTTTAGAGATTCTAAGAGATCTAGAGATGAGCTCTAGAACTTGGTTAGGTTAAAATCTTTGTTATGGGCATTCGTTAATTGAGCTTTTTTTTATTATTTTAAATATAATATTAAAAGTCAGTATTCAACAACATCCATTCTTCCAACATTCTAGAAAATAAATTTCCACTCAAATATGAGCCATTCGTCCTCCCAAAATATAGCAAAGAAGGGTAAACAAAAAAGAATACAAAAAGAAAGCCACCAAAAGCAGCCAAACAGCTAGCTATACGAAGAGAGACTCCAGTTTAAAATAGTACGACCCGGCAGATAATTACAAAAATCCTTAAATAGATGAATTTAGATTACATTCATTTGAGGTAATAGAATTTCAAAGTCAACCAATATACCCTCAACTGCCCTCCCCCCACATTGAAGTCAAAAAAGAAAATATCAGTGATTAAAGAGAGAAAAGGTTGCTATCTCATTTTTAGCCCAAGAATAATAACCATTCATCAAAGGGGCTTCCATCAAAGAAATATTCTGAGTAAGTTGGTTGAATCCCCCATACTTCTAACCATAAATCTCCAATAGATTTTCTAAACACCTATCCTTAACCAGTAAATATCCTCCTACACCTAGATCATAGATTTCCTTCAAAAATCTATTTATACCTCAAGAAGAATTTGGCACATAGTCATTGGAAACTCGACATTGTAGTTTCATTTCTCAATGAGAGCAAATGCTCAACTTTTTTTCATAAATTCAACAAGGGCAATGGTATTTATGAGCTCTTTTGGCTTCACTCCTTCCTTATTCTTTTGTAGATTTAAAGAGCTTTACCATAAAAAGATGTTGGGATGATCTCAATTGCAAGGAGATGGAATGGAAACCCCCAGAAGAGTTAAAACGGCATTTCTTGCTCCTTCGAAAGTAATAAATGATGTTGAATTGGGGTTTTGAGCATATAGATTTAACTTGGCTGTAAAAGGTTGTTGTAACCTCAACTCTCTTCTACTCTTTTCTATTCTTTCATTTTTCCTAATAAAAGCTTGGTTTTCCATCCTCCTTCTAAGCACCATCACATTTAGTGGCATCCAAGATGCTTACATTAACGCATTCACGACTTGGGAGGCCTATCCTCTAAATCTTTGGTAACGTCACCAATCAGAGAATGAAAATCCAGCCCACCCTCCCTTACTGTGCAAGGCTATTTGGAAGTTCAAAGTTCCCAAGAAGGTTAAGATTTTTCTCGTGTACTCCCTCTGATCAGTGCCATAATACGGCTGACGGTATTCAAAGAAGATATCCCTCCACTACTAGCCCCCTCCTAACTGATATACCCTTTTTACAAACTAGAAGTCACAAGATATGATCCAAAGAAAACACCAAGAAAAAGGTGAAGAAAAGATTGATTCTATTTCCATATTTTGTCCATAACAAAACTACAAACCCAGCACGAAAACTACGGTGGTACCAGAGAAAAAATAAAATAAATCACACCCAGCAAAGGTAAGAATTAGCATTGACAAAGAAAGTTTTCCAGTTGAGCAATTGAGGCAGTGTTGAGTAGCTAACAGTCATACTGACGGTGCCCCAGCAAAACATACATAGTAAAAACCAACAAATTATCTAAAATTCAGTTCCAAACCTGAGTTCTTCCAACGAGAATCGATCCCTGGATCTCCAGAAGGAAAACCACATGGCTAAACAATCAGAGCCCCGAACTCAAATACCCAATAATCATTCTGTACCCTAAACCCAATCCATCTCAGAATTGAAGGTTATGATTCCAGAGTTCTTCTCTTCAACAGCAACTACCTGCCTTCGACACGGGGCAATTGAAGAACGCTTTTCAATCTGATCGAAAGCTCTTTCGATGGAGGAAAAGCGACGGAGATCTTGATCGAGCAATTTGGGTATTTTGTTTGAAAGATTTTGCAAATGAAAACTGGAATTGCAAGGCTTGTGTAGAAGAAGAGAATCGAGAATTGTTGAAATTCTGATAGCAAAACGGAAGATTTGATAGAGAGAAAGAAACGCCTTGAGCTGGGAAACCAGATTGTGTCCGTCGGACTCGAAGCATTTCATTGTATCGATGAAGACGGACTTAGTCGGTAGATTGGGCCGCTGTGTATTGATAATTGGGCCATCTGTTAGACCCTTAATGGGCCAACACCACGGCCCATTTAAAAATGGAATGGAGTATTTAATTTTCAATTTTATTAGATTTAAATTGAATTATTTCTAATAAAATATGTTCAATAAATTTATAAATTTAGAAAGATATATATATTTTAGAGACTAAATCTGTAATTTTCAAAATTTTGGGGCCAAATCGAGACCGACTTCGAAATTCAAGGACTGATCCTGTAGTTTAGATGAAGATATTCAAATATTTTAATCTATATATAGTATGTCAATTGAGATATGTTCAAATTGGTGTTAAATTTTTATATTATTAAAGTGAAAATAGTCATTTATATTAGAACGATCTGAGTTTTCTAAATCTAAACTAATTTTTTCTTATCGTTACTATATGCATGTACCAAATTTACGAGGCACATGTGTGGAAATTTTAGTGGATTTTACCCGAATTGATGGGAATTACTGTGGGTTTTATGGCCCTTGATCTCATTTTAATTAATTTCAATCGACCATAATAACAAACTACTTTTAACTATTAACTATTTTCAGTATTTTGAATGGTCGACCCCATACGGTTGAGAATAACAATTTCAACCACTTTTTAATTACTCAAATCAGAGCTAAAACGAAGAAATTACAGTCGAGACAATATACCCGACGTGATGATGTGGCAGCAAAACTAAAATGATGGACAAATCAAAATATATCAAAGTATGACACTTATAATTTTAGAAGAGCATCGAAGGGTGGAATTTTTCTTATTATTATATTTCTAAATAAAATGATTTTTACGTAATATAAATTTGAATCTAACCTTACTCACATTCATTTTTACTATTACTATATTATATTATTATATTATTATATTTTAAAATTTTACTCACATACTTTTTATTATTATTATATTATTATATTTATAATAAATTCTGAAATTTTAATTTGACAGTTACTCCCCTAAGTTTTTATCATTATTATATTTAAAAAAGTTAAATAAATGAATTAAATTTTTTTATTTATTTATTTACTTTTAATTCATTACTCTTAACACAATACAACGGTCAATATTAATTTCTACCACTTTTCTACGTCTCCCTAGTTTGTTGTTCTCTCCAAGCTTCCAGTTTTATTTTTATTCATCTTATTCTTGAAAGAGATTTTTTATTATAATATGAGAAAATAGTTGTGAGTACTTCAAATTTAAAGAAAATAGTTCTGAGTACTTTAAATTGTAAATCTACTCTTTGAGAGAATTGTGGTGTGTTACTACCAAATTCAAATACTTGTACCGGTCTGATCCTACGTGAAAAAGATTGAGTTTGCTCTTAAACTCGTAAAAAGAGTTGTGTAGCGGTTTGGCTCTGATCCGTGGAAAGAGTCGAGAAAGTTGTTTATTCAAATTCACAAGAGGCACTTTGACTTGAATTATTTTGTTCTAGTAATTATCATCTTCTACTTATTTGTAAAAAGTTTCATCATTAGAAAAATTAATCACGTTTAAACACTTTTATCGTTAAAATCCTATTCACCCCCCTCTAGGGTTGCCATACCGATCCAACAATTACGACCCAATCAGTAAAGTCGAGTCACTTTGACATACGATCATCGAGCTTTACCACATCATGACATACGACTATCACGGAAGCAACACAACCATCAACGCCCGTACAATTCCCTTGCCTACGAAACTGGCCTATTGAATAGTATGACTAAATCTAACATTAGAAGGTAGCATATTGAGACACAAGTTTAATGTTTTAGCTATTGTTCCTAGATTTTATTTTTTAAGCGGGTTGTCACTCAATTAATTGTTGTTGAACGTTGCTCGTGGCTCGTGCAATAACAAAACCAACCCAATTGTTTTTAAGAAAATTTATAGTTCTACAAACTAGTAGATCATGAAGAAAAAAAACTCTCGAACGTAAATAATTTCATCATGATGAACATAAATTTAGAAAACTTACTTCTAAACTCAAAGATCTGAATCATACCATGAGTTGTTTTATTAATAATCATTTAACGACTTCGATAAATGAATGCTTCAGAAACATGTGACCAAAGTCTTAAAAAAGTTCAACCCATATGTGCAATGGCAGTTTCTATTTGTACCTTCAATTCCTCTTCTTCTTCTCTCTCGGCCTGTAAAAGTCCAATATTTTCATATTAGATATACGATATCGAGGAGTAACCTTCAATGATGATAAAAGTTCTCTATTTATAATCATTTAAATAATCAAATAAATTACTAAGGATACAGAAAAAACAATAAATGAATACAAGATATTGTATATAATAGGAGGACAAGTATGATACATATGATAATTACAATGAAAAATATCTAAATATTTGACTATAATAAAAGGTCAAATATGATAAGTAAGCCCGATAGAAGTCAAATATCTAAATATTTGACTGTAATAAATGGTCAAATACGATAAAGCACTATAGAAGTCAAATATCTAAATATTTGACTGTAATAAATGGTCAAATATGATACTAAATAAAAGTCAAATATCTAAATATTTGACTGTAATAAATGGTCAAATACGATAAAGCACTATAGAAGTCAAATATCTAAATATTTGACTGTAATAAATGGTCAAATATGATACTAAACATGATAAAAGTCAAATATCTAAATATTTGACTGTAATAAAGGGTCAAATAGGATAGGAGTCAAATATCTAAATATTTGACCATAATAAATGGTCAAATATGATACATATGATAAACCGTGATGAAAAACTAAATATCCTCAATCATACAAGATATTTGTCGATAATATAAGGGTCAAATATGATATATATGGTAAACTATAATTTAACACTAAATATCCTTAACAATGTTGAACCCATGTTTATCCCGTAAATTAACTAAACTTGGAGTTTATTAGACAAAGCCATAAGTCTCTCGAGAATACCACACAAAACCAATTCCTTCAAACTCGATCTCGTAATTCAAACTTCTTAAACCTCCATTCAGAACACAAATTTCCTAAATATCGACTTCTTAAGCCCTCAACCCTAAACCGCTTCGGGCACTACTGCCCTTAAAAGAGGTAATGAGAGTACTATTAAGGATTAAGGAGATTCCTAATTACAAGAGTACTGTTGTGATAATTCAACATCGTGTATGAAATGTTTGGCTTATCCCGTTGGATGGGAATCCTATATAATACCTAAATTAATTGAGGGCTAGAGCTAGGCAACTCAGATTGATACGACAATATGGAGGTAGGAGACAATAACACGAGCTGACAGAACAAAGCTAAATCATGGACCTACCGCTTTTGCAATATTGCAAATTTAGAAGAAAAAAACAAAGTAGTTGAAACGAAACCGACATATAAAAGTGAGAAAAGGGACAGGACTGAGGATAGAGAAAAAGGAATAATTTTCGAGGCGTGAAATTCAAACTTTTGACCTATTGATCGAGAATACACATTTTGTGTCGTAGTTAATCCATGTACCCCTCACTTACTCGAGTGGTACAACGTCTAACATAACCTAAACTTTCAATTTGACACTAACCTCAATGAAGAGCGTGTTCAAGAGCTTGTTTGCGAAGACACTGATATTAGCGGTAATGATCTTCAACTTCAGCGATTCAATCACTTCCCAAACCTTCAAAATTGTGTTGCCTCGACGTAAGCATGTCAAACTCACCACCATCACCTTCTCGCCCACGTAATTCACACTCAACTAACAACAACAAGAAGTTTCAATCAAACAAACAAAAAGTCCTAGAAATTCAAATTTCGAGATTCAAACTCACTTACATCGAGAACTTCGATTGAGGAAGACGATGAAGCGTCAGTTGTTTGCCGATTCCATTTCATGTTCGTCCAAATTCGATCTCCGTTTTCGTCGTTCCATTGATTTGTGGTTCTTGATCCATTGTTGTTTACGCTTGATTCCAGATCGGAAATCTCTGTTTCGATTCTCTTCTCTTCCGCTCGCAACTCTTGGATGTATACGATGGCATCTTTTATTATTGACGCCTTGTCCATCTGTCATCACCAACACAAACTTTAAATATATATATATATGTGAAAAATTATAAATATTAATATCCTGTAAAAAAAAATATTTTAAAAATATTTTTATTAACAATTAGTAAAATTAAAAATATTTATAGTGAGTTTTAAAAATATTAATAAAAAAATTTAAAATAAGGATATTTTTTAACTTGGATGAAAATTTTAGAATATTTTTAGTTTTTTTAAGGGTATTATTGGAATTTTTTAAAAATGGAAAGTACTGTATTTTTATTAATTAAATAACTTTAAAAAGTTATTATGCGTAATGACTAAATTGCCCCTGAACGGCTAATTTAACTAAAAATAAATTTAATAATAATTATGCTAATTTATATTTAGTCTCTAATGTTTTATTATTTTTTAAAATTGAACTGATATAATTTTATTTAATTTTTCAAAAATATTTATGATTTTGTCAGTTATTCAAAAATATTTATGAAAATATTAAAATTTGTAGTCAAATTCTAAAAATAAAAACCAATTTTTTAAAATTTCAAAATTTAGGTTTGTTTTTAAAAATATATAAACAAAAATAAATAATAAAACATGAAAAATTATAAGCGAAAATAATATTTATAATTTTTTTTTTTAAAAAAAAAGTTTATAAATTTATTATTTTTTTTTTTAAAAAAAAATGAAAATCTCACTTTGGTGATATTGGGGACCACAGCTCGGAGAGCAATAAGCCTATCGTTAAGCTTCTTTCTCCGGTTTCTCTCCGATACGATATTCTTCGACGCCTCCGACGGCGACGACGGCGACACCTTCCCGTCCGGCGAGCTCGAATTGTAAGCACTGTAAAATGCTTCCTCCAGTCCCCAACCGCCGCTAATTTCAAAGGATATTAAAAAAAAATTAAAATAAATTAAAAAAACAAAGGATTCCGAAAAGAAACCTGCCGGAGTCTTCCGTCAGCAGAAACATGTCCGTTTCCCAATATTTCAGATACTCATCGAGAATGTTATCCATCGGCGGCGGATCGGGCGGACGGCCGGAGGAGACGGCGGATTCCGATTGCGATATTATCTATGGAGAGGAAATGGGTTCCGTGCAAATTGGGGCAGAATGCGGGAGTTTTTATAGGGCTAAAAATCCGTTAAAATTTTGAAAGTTCAAGAACTAAACTTTAAATTTTTACTATTTAATAATTAAAAAATTAACACGACAAGGAAGTTCAAATATATCTATTCTATATATATATATTAAATTGAGTTATACGTAATTACGATAAAATTACAATAAATTAGATGTAATTACGATAAAGTTTACAATAAATTTTAGAAATAATAAAGACGATGCTCGAATTTATAATGAAGAAGGATAAACTTAAGACTTTTTCGTGAGTATTTATATTGTAATTAGTATTTTTAATTTGAAAATAATCTAAACGGGTTTTTTTTAATGGTGTTTAGGAAGTTATCGAATTATCGAAATTTCAATTTTGTGTATAATACATTTTCGGCATATTTAATATTATCGAGTTTTCAATCTTACTATCGGTATGCATGATCACACGTGTCCAGTGGCCTTGCACGTGTTATATGTTTGATATGTGTATTGTGTTTATGATATGATATGTTTAATGATATGATATGATGTGATGTCCCACATTGGTTGGGGAGGAGAACAAACGACCATTTATAAGGGTGTGGAAACCTTCTCCTAGAAGACGCGTTTTAAAACCTTGAGGGGAAGCTCGAAAGGGAAAGCCCAAAAAAGACAATATCTACTAGCGGTGGATCTGGGCCGTTACACATGATGTGTTGTACAATACGATATGTTATGATAACATTAAAATACAAATAGATGTCATATTATGCCTTGACGAATTATGATAACGTATGAAGTGGCATGATATGTTGTGACATGTATGACATGTAACGAAATGTTTTGAGATAAGAAGATTTATGACGTACAATCCCTGAGACATGTTTCGAAGGCTATGCTATAAACGAAACGAAATTGATAAAAATAGGGAGGGTTGTCTTACCTGATTTATTTACGGTGTAAAATGTTGGGACCTCATGCACAAACGTATGTTCATATGCATCAAGATATTTTCTCTTACGAAAACGAAAATGATTGTCATGTTTAACATGATGCTATAACCGTTGCTATTCCTTCCAGGTGTCTGACAACAGCTCAGGGGGTGTGCGAACCGCTTGGTGGGTCCATGTCCGCACGTATGGGCCGTGTGTAGAGTAGTAAGTACACATCCGATAACCCGAACTAGATAACCGCCTAAGAGAATATGACTTTAAATGATAGGTCTCATTCATGTTGCATGTGTTTGCATTCCTCAACCCCAACGGTGGGTCACTCAGTGATTATTTCATAAAAATCAAGTCTTGTGCTACTTTTATATTTTACGTGTAAAGACAAGATACCTATATTCTATTATATATTTCTTTTAAGTTCGGGTTTCTTCTCTTTTTCACTATTTTTTTTTTTTATAATAGGTTTAAATGAATAAACATTTTTTTTGTATTTTAATGTTTTTATGACGTCAGCACTAGCAGATGAATCCAAAATACTTTATTTGTGAACTAATATTTTTTTATTTTACCCAAAAGACAAAATTGAATGGTCTTAGAAAAAAACAGTTGAATAATCATTGACAGATTTTTTTTTTTTTTTACTAATATTATTATTAACTTTAATAACATAATTATTTATTTTAATTTTTAAAAATTTGTGTTGTTTTTTCAATAACCTAAGAAATTATATGAATTTTAGTCCAATTAAAAAATATTTTTTAAATTTTCGAAATTTGACTTAAATTTTGAAATTCTTCTAATAAAAAAATATAATAAATCAAATAATTCTATAAATAAAACTAGTATTTATATGCCTAATTTTTAAAAATAAAAATAAGAAAATTAAAAAAAAAATAGTTTTTATTTATTAAAGAAATCATAGTCTTTGAGAGAATTCAAACAAAGATCGAGAATTGTAACTTAGCCCTGACAATTTAAAATTGTAACATTTCTATAAAAGGCACAAGAGGAATAGGGCTATCATAGGCCAACACACGACTTCAAGAGTTTGCAAGGTTGAGCTCGGTTCGACCCTAAAACAATCGACTCAAAACATTAAGCTCGGGCCCATTGGAACGATCCCTCATAAAGTTGTCTTAAATGTCTAAGTGGCTGAAAACCTTTTTCCTAGCAGACACGTTTTAAAGCCTTGAGGGGAAGCCCGAAAGGGAAAGCCCAAAGAGGACAATATCTACTAGCGGTGAATCTGGGTCGTTACACAGCCAACGATGCGATTCCCTTCTCTTTCGAGATGAATTCGACATGGTAGGAGAGACATCAAACCTTCCCCTAGCAGACACATTTTAAAGCCTTGAAGGGAAGCCCGAAAGGGAAATCCCAAAGAGTGGATCTAGGCCGTTACACAGCCAACGATGCAATTCCCTTCTCTTTCAAGATGAATTCGACGTGGTAGAGGAGACATCAGTTCACAACGGTGCCACTACCTCAACGTGAACAATAGATGCATAAAGAAAATATGAACTTGAAAATTAAAAAGTAAATTCAGCCGAGAAGTCAATCCCATTACTATTCAACAATCAACGAATCATTAGTTTCCTTTCGAGCATATACTTATGTTGCATGTGCATAAACTAAATTTGAGAATGAGCTCTAATTCGTTCATATTTGAAATGACTTTTCAAGTACGTATGCAATACTCATTCTCGAACAAGCTATAAGTAGGCTGAGTTGGAGGGTGTCGTGTCTTAATGTAACCTCGTGATTGAATCGAGTGTACCGAAGATTGTCCTAAGATGCCTTTCATTTTAGTTCAAAGTTTTTATTATTATCATCACTTGTTGTCGGAGAAGTACTGATGTTGTAGCTCATTAAAGGGATTTCAGGGTGTCTATGTTCGTATAAAGGTGGATGGTTGGTGAACAATTTTAGTGGTACAAAGAATCAAATATTTTCACAAACAAAACAACAAAATTAATTTGTATGTTGGTTGCAAGAATGTCCTTTGTTGTGGAAATTTAGATGAGTTTGTATTGAATTTTGAAAGAAAAATATAGCTTTAGTGGTCGAGTTTCATTCAACACGAACGTACATCACTCGTCTTGCCATCATCAAATGATTTTTTTTTTTTTTTTTTTTGAAATGATCCGTGTTAGGAACACTCGATAAGTAGCTACTCTTGACGAGCGTCAACCATGCTGGATTATGCAGAACTAGAGATCTTTCTAGAATCCTTGCAAAATTTCACAAATAAAACTAACTCAATGGAGTAAAGATATTTCACCTCTAGAGTCGCCAAAGAACACCGACCAAATGTTCAAGCTAGAGGTTGAATCCTTGCAAAATTTCATAAATAAAGCTAACTTAACGAAGTAAAGATATTTCACCTTTAGAGCCGATTAAAGAACGTCAACAAAATGCTCTAATACCAAATGATAAGTGTCAACAATGCCGGATTTTGCAAAGCTAGAGGTCCTTCTAGGATCCTTGCAGAATTTCACGAATAAAGCTAACTTAACGAAGTAAAAATATTTCATCTTTAGAGCCGACCAAAGAACGTCGACTAAATGTTCTGATACCAAATGATAAGTGTCAACAATACTGAATTATACTGAGTTTAACAAATATCTTTATTTTCTTATGGCTAAAGTGATCACTTACTTCAGAGCTTAACAAATATCTAATCTAATAAGTTATGTTCGGAATTGTCTAGATATCTTAAACTCGAAGTCTCTAATCTTAGAGTAACCACGTGTACGCATGGAGACCAAAAAATGAGAATATAAAATGTAACGTAAATGATTGGGTAGCTCATTACCGACCTTTATATTTCTAGAGAAGATGCCTTTCTTGATTTATGGGTCATTCATTCAATTCAAATATTTGTATCGATATGCATTAGTATCGATGGGGCAACACAGCGATGGATGATTTGGTAGACAATAATATCGACACAAAGCATAAAATATTCTCTGAAAGGGAACCGATGACTTGATTGAATAAAGAGGATGAAGAAAATTGTAGGCTAAAGTTTCGCTTAGAGAAAATGACATTTATGTACTTACCAAAAACCCAAAAATAATTACTTATGTTTGAATAATACCCTTAAACTTTTGAAAAAGTCTAAAATACCCTTACCGTTATTTTGATTCGAAACTGTTAATATTTTGTTTTAACAATATCTTTGAACTTTTAAGCGGGATTCAAAAAAGTCAAGCTTATACATGCGGTTAAGCTGTATCTTAGCTCTATTAGCTATATTCTTGCCATTCTTGCCACATACGTCAATGGATACTTTTGGAGGATGTTGATGGTCTTTCATTAGTATCTTATACATGCGGTTTCGCGACCATTTTACCTTCATCAACAAAGATTTGTTTCTATCGTATATCTTAAGAAAGTCGACTAACTCTACATTTCACCAAGGCTAATAATATTCATCTTCAAACTCGAGATATAATGTATAAGCTAATAATTTTGATTCAGTAGAATTATTATTTGACATTTGAAAAAAAAAACTAAATAAAAATACCTCTAAATTTGGTATCTTATCTCAAAAATGTTTTAATATTTAAATAATTCTTTTAAACTTAAAAAAAGTCTAAAAAAAATACCCTAAACTTTTAAAAATGTTCAAAAATACTATTATCATTAGTTTTAAATGGAAATGGTTAAGATTTTGTTTCAAAAATATTAAAAGGGTTTCAAAAAAGTCAAGCTTATTGCTCACATTCTACCCGTAAGTTTGACTTTGCTTAAAATTCTTCACTTCAAGCAACTCCACCGTGCAGGCTTAACCTTTGCTAGGGTCTTGACGTTGCTTGAAATTCTTCACTTCAAGCAACTCCTACATGCGCTTAACCTTTGCTAGGACCTTGGTGAGAATATATGCACACTGCTCTATAGTGTTTACAATGTCTTCTTCATAAGAAAGTTTAATTCCACACCATGCAATTTCTTCTGCTTCTCTCTACTACGTAGGAACTTCATCATCTTGTAAGGTACTTCTTTGTTTTCCAAGGTACTCCTTTGTTTTGCAACCTTCTTTTTAAGCCGTCTCTAGGCTTATTTAGTTGAGATGGTAAGTTTAATGTCCCATTTTTCTTACGCCCTAGTGGCCTTCCTCGAGGCCTTCTAGGTTGAGATGATAGAGATGATAAGTTTAATGAAACACACCGACTTGTGGGTTGGTCTTCATTGGTTGAAGTAGTCTCTGGTTTCTTCTTGGCTCTATTCTTCGGTTCCTTTTTCTCCCAACCCACCACCAACTCTAATGAATACTTTCGGAGGATATTGATGATCTTTTATTAGTATCTTATACATTCGATCCCACGCCCATTTTACCTTCATTAACAGGACTTTGTTTCTGTCGTATCTTAAGGAACGAGTCGACTAACCTTCTTCCGTCATTTGATCAAGGCTAATAATATTCATACTTCAAACTCAAGATGTAATATGTTTTGGCTAATAGACGTAGATCGTTGTTCTTACACTAGAAAAAGATGAATCCTTTGCCTTGGATCGGTACAATTGATCCATCACAAAGTTTCATGTTTCCAATGAAATTCTCATCAACCTCCTTGAACTTTGCTTGATCTTCGATCATGTGGTTGCTCGCGTCGTTGTCTAGGTACCACATGCTGGTCTCCATTTGGTCTTCTTATTTGCAAGGAGATCTACCATTTTCATGAGACAATTGTTTTATCCAACATTTTATTGTCAAAGAAACTCAATCAATTTATCTGCATCCCAACTATTCTCGAGAGATGAATGTTAACAAAACTTGTGATCCTAAAAGCTAAGTGACTATCATGACTTAGAACTCATTCCCGAACACAAGAATAATAGCAAAATCAATAAAGGGTGCAAACAAATATATTTCACCAGAAAGTACAGCCCAAATGCAATACCACTTGAGAAAATTACTGAAATTCTTTATAGATAGAAGAGAATCCGAAGTGTTAATATAACTCAAATTCATGATGAAATTGATAGCATTGTACCTTAATGGCCTCTTTCAAATCCAATGCGAGTTCTACCAGAGCCGCCACCCTCATAGCCATCTCGCATTGATGAACCTGCACCAGCTCTCATTGTCCCACCAGCGCCAACTTTATCCATAGTTTTCTTACCTTTCTTCACTTCTGTCAAGAACTGATCGAGTCCGAATGGATCGGCTTCTTCAACCTCTCTCTCGAACTCAACTGGCCTATCTCTAGGTCCAGACCTTTCCGCTGTGCCTGAAAACTTCTTGTCTGGTTTGAAGCGATCGGTTTTCGTTATCTTGTCTAACTGTTCGTCAGCACCTCCATACATATCAGAATCAGCGTCCTTTTTAGGTCGGTAAAGGGTTGAAAGAGTAGGCTGAGCGGTAAATAGGCCCTTGTCGTATATGTTGTATTGATCGTCATTGGCAAATCCGGAGTCCATTCCTTTATCTTGGTTAAATAGCCTCTGGTCATACATAACCTCCCCTTCTCGACATGCTCCGGTCGAAGCCATACCAAGTGCAACCTTCTCGCTGATATCACGATCTCTGTCTCTTGTAATCTTACTCTTCTTTCCCATTGCTGCGTCTTTAGCCTCCAACCTTCTTTCCCTCTCCCTCTCCCGACGTCGCTCCTCACGAATCTTCTCCCGCTGCAACCTCTCTTCCCTTTCCTCCCTTGTTTCCTTCGGTAAATTCTTCTCGGTTTCTCTGACACGTTCGAAGTCCCCTTTCATCTCAGAAGTATCTACTGCGTCCCTCTCAGATGAATAATGAACAGAAGGAGGTGCAGCTCCGGTTCTCTCAGACCGAGCTTTCTGAGCCAATGCTCGAAGCTCCAACTCCTTCTTCTCCTTTTGTTTCATAAGCATTTCTTTCTGAACCTTAGATCTCATAGCAACTGCTTCTCTAGCTTTCTGTTCTGCAACATACAGTGCTTCTGATAGCTTTGCAAAGTTATCATTGATTTGAACTTCTTGAAGGCCTCTCCCATCAGCTGCAAGGCGCTTGTCAAGTGGAATTGTATACCCTTTTGGATTCTTCCAATTTGAAATACAAGGTGGAATCTTCCAATCCTGTTGATCCTTCACCGTGACGGGACGTGGAGGAGAATGCATAACAGGCACCGGAGGAGACCCCGAAGCTTTAGGAACACGTTTGTGCTTGAACTTCGGAGGCTCAATCGGATCTACAGGCATCTCCACCATTCTAATTATTCTCTCCTTGGCGCCCGAATTAAACGCAGCCGATTGCTGAGACGGCTTATACTTGATAAACTTCGAATCCATTGATTGTTTGGTTACATTCTTGGGCTGTGCTGCACTCAATCTTACATTTACTATCTTCTCAAGTGCAGATTTCGTTTCCTCAGTTGTTTCTTCAATCTCTTTCTGCAACTCATCATCTTCATCACTCACTTCATCATTTTTCAAAAACTTCGGAATAAGATCTTTATGTTGCGAATACACAATCTTCCTAGAATTCTCATTCTGCTTGACAATAGCATCATACGCAACATTTCCATGCGCATCAACCGTAACAGGAAGGATCTTCGTTCCAGGCTTCGACGATCTATCTCTACCCATATCAAGTGGGTATTGAGCAATGTGAATCTCTGGAAAAGCACCACCATCACCGAAATCCTCAACTCTCCTTGGAACAAATCCCCCACGCTTCATGTAAGGCGGCACCGGATTCGCCTTGACAACAGAAGCTTGCTCTGTTTCTAAGGAACTAAACCGCTGCTTGAACCATGGATCATTTGAATGATCATAGTGTGTTACAGTGGTTGACTTAACAGCAGGAAGAAGGTCTTTCAGAGTTGCCATGACTTTAAACTACCTAAAAGAACCAGAAAGACAGTGAAAAACTAATTGGTCTAAGAAATATGAAATGTTATCTCAAGTGTTTAAGAAAGGCAACAAACATCATGATCCAAATTAGTACCAACCCATAGTTTCAATGCCGTAATTTAACATCTCTTACAAACACGGTGGTAGTAATAACAACTCTCTAGCATAACAACTCTCTAGCATGGTATGATATTATCCACTTTGAGCATAAGCTCTCATGGCTTTGCTTTGGACTTCTCCAAAAAGCCTCGGAGTGCTATGATATTGTCCACTTTGAGCATAAGCTCTCATGGCTTTGCATTGGACTTCTCCAAAAAGCCTCGGTGTGCTACGATATTGTCCACTTTGAGCATAAGCTCTCGTGGCTTTGCTTTGGACTTCTCCAAAAAGCCTCAAGAGTGCTATGATATTGTCCACTTTGAGCATAAGCTCTCGTGGCTTTGCTTTGGATTTCTCCAAAAAGCCTCGGAGTGCTATGATATTGTCCACTTTGCATCTTGATCCAAATTAGCACCAACCCAAAGTTTCAATGCCGTAATTTAACATCTCTCACAAACACGGTGGTAGTAATAACGACTCTCTACCATAATCTATTGTCCACTTTGAGCATAAACTCTCATGGCTTTGCTTTGGACTTCTCCAAAAAGCCTCGGAGATGTATTCCTTACTTATAAACTTATGATCATTCCCTATATTAGCTAATGACGGACTCCATCCAACAATCCTCAACACAAGGGGACTTTAAATTAAAGAAACCCTAAATTCACCTAAGTACAAACAAAACCAAAAATGAAGAATCTGAAAACATCACAGGACAACAAATCACAACCCGTAAACGAAAACGAAACAAATCAAACAAAAGAAAAACGGTGCAGCTAGATTAAAAAAAAACAACCCAAATTATTCATATCCAACAAGTTTAAGAGAAAGAGAGAGATGATACCCTAGAAATCGCAGAAGATGCAGAAGTGAACCGGAAAATCACAGAAACAGTGATTCGAGTAGGTGAGAGACTAACAGAAAAGGATGGGTTAACAGTGATTCCGAGACAGGAAAATCGAGAAAAGGCGAAACTGGAGTTTGTAGCTAATGGAGAAGTTATGAAGAGGGAGATAGTGAAGGGGAAGCTTCAAATAGGGTTAAGGACAGATCGGAGAGAAAGAAAGACGGCATGGAGGAGTTTGGATTTGCAGAGAAGGAGCGAGGACGACAGGGTTCGAACGAGAATCCGGCGGGTTAAAAAAGAAAAAACGGGGAACGAAGGATATCGGGTCAGACAGTCGGGTCGGGTCGGGTCGTTTTTAAAAAAAAAAAATTTGATTTTATAGCAAAAAAAAAAAATGATCAAATTTGTTTGAAACCCATTGTTTTTTTTTGGGAAATTAAGACTAAGTTTGATAATAATTTTGATTGCCTTGTAATTTTTTTAGGCTAAATTCATAAAAATATTCAATTATTTTAAAAGTTTCAAAATATATATTTTTTTTTTCGACATGGTCATGTTATTTACTTTCTTATTTCCAAGAGTGGAGACTATTCTCGCATACCCAATAGAGATTCTTTCGAACACTTTGAGGAAAATTTTCAAAGTTGACATAGAATTGCTCAAAACAAAGCACACTTAACTTTAAAGTTCCTATAATTGAACCACCGAAAAAGAATGTGAACTTTGTTGATATAAGTAATAACTTTCCATTCTTATAAATTTTTCTTAATCATTATATTCTCAAGGTCACTTTTAATTCTTAATATTGCATATCTAGTCGGATAGTCTCCCAACCTTGAACTAATTTCCACATAACCCTAATGTTCGATTAACCAATACGAAGAACCCTCATTTTCCCTAATTCATAACCAATTGAAACTCGACATAAATAGATTGTAAAAGTAATTTCAGTACGAATACAACAAATCGAATGAATAAACATAAAATCAAATCCAAATCCAACTTAACTCAAGGAAGATAAGAATATGAAGGAATGATGTTCCAATGGTTCCATTCCAACCACAGAGGGTTTAGATTCTTTGTTCTCAAACGAATGTGAAATAAGAAGATGAATGAGATTCTAATTACAATTGCAGGCTTCTCTCCATTCTAAATTTTTTTAGAGAAAGAAAAAACATGTATAATAATGAAACTGAATTTATTATCTTAGATAAAGTATGTACGATTTCAACCAAGAACTCGAAAGTTCGAATGCTCCACATTGTTAGAACGTGTTGAACTAAAAACTAAATACTTTTAAACTTCAAACTTTAGGATGACCTGAAGTGACTAATAAGAAGAACCTACTCACAAACGAATACATCGACACAGAAAAAGAAGGGAAAAGAAAACGTAAGACGAATCTACTCAGCTAAATCAGTTTCGATATGCAAGAGGGTAAAATGTTTTTTTAACTACTTTAGGCCGACTTTACAAGAACTACCTTCCAACATGATTCATTCATCCTCTTAACAGACAAGAATTAATACGATGCGTCTCAAATCCGAGTGGATATGAATCTGCAGATCAGTCAATTTAGAGCCTGAAGGTACTGTACCCTCCTAACCCAGATGACCCATAACCACCATATGATTGTGATGATAAAGAGGATGGAGTGTAGGATGAACCTGAAGCACCCAACTGGGAGTATGATGACCTCAAGCCTGTGGTGTCTAGCCTGCCATAGCTGCTGCTTGTTACTGGTTCCTTAGGGCCACTTATTGCTTCCTATAAGTACAATACAAGGAAAACAAAATCATAAATATCAATGTCCACCAGGTACTATTTGCTTGCTATTTTCCTCGAGAATCCTAGTAATCCATAATAATAACCGGAACTATCTATAGTGTAATGAAGCATTGAGGCTAAAACTTTGGCCAAGGAAAGAGTTGCTGCAATGTCCCACCTTGGTTGGGGAGGAGAACAAAACACCCTTATAAGGGAGAGGAAACCTTTTCCTAGCAGACGCGTTTTAAAGCCTTGAGGGGAAGCCCAAAAGGGAAAGCCCAAAGAGGACAATATCTGCTAGCGGTGGATCTGGGCCGTTACAAATGGTATCAGAGCCAGACACCGGACGATGTCCCAGCTTTCTCGCTGTTCCCTGAAGGGGAGTAGACACGAGGCGGTGTGCTAGTAAGGACGTTGGGCCCCGAAGAGGGGTGGATTTGGTGGCGGTCCCACATCGAATTGGAGAAAAGAACGAGTGCCAGCGAGGACGCTGAGCCCTGAAGGGGGGTGGATTGTGATGTCCCACATTGGTTGGGGAGGAGAACAAAACACCCTTATAAGGGAGTGGAAACCGGATTTGGTGGCAGTCCCACATCGAATTGGAGAAAGGAACGAGTGCCAGCGAGGACGCTGGGCCCCAAAGGGGGGTGGATTGTGATGTCCCACATTGGTTGGGGAGGAGAACAAAACACCCTTATAAGGGAGTGGAAACCTTTCCCTAGCAGACGCGTTTTAAAGCCTCGAAGGGGGGTGGATTGTGATGTCCCACATTGGTTGGGGAGGAGAACAAAACACCCTTATAAGGAAGTGGAAACCTTTCCCTAGCAGACGCGTTTTAAAGCCTTGAGGGGAAGCCCGAAAGGGAAAGCCCAAAGATGATAATATCCGCTAGCGGTGGATCTGGGCCGTTACAGTTGCACAATGAAATATAAGTAACTTTTTGCATGACATGGGAAACAGAGTATCGCAGCGCAACGCTATGGACCGTAACAAGCAATAACCAGAAAGTTAATAGTCAAACGGGGAAATTAAATATTACCTGAATTAATTGTTGAGCCATCTGAACTTGTGAGGAAGTGCCTTTTATTTCCACAGTGATTTCATCCGGTAATCCCCTGCTCTCTTGTATGGTTAAGATTGCACCACTATTGCGACGGATGAATGCGATATTTGCTCCTCCAACCCCAATGATGTCCTCAGCATAAGATAACGGGATCTGCATTGTCTGCGTGACCTGACAGGAACCACAAAGAGGTGACTCGGTCAAAGATGATAAAGACGAACTCGGTAACTACTGTGTGACCCCACGGCCTCCATTCAGCATTATGCTAAATAATACTTGTATGCAATATGCCAAACATTTTGGACATAGTGTTTCCAAGCCACGATGGACATGTAAAGCTAACAAGCTTCCAGCTTGTCTGGACATCAAGACTGGAAAAAGAAAAATGGACATGCAATGATGGTATAGTTTGCAGCCTCACAAGGCCTGAGTCAACATAGACCATTTCCTTCAACCAATAACTACATATACCAACCTGAGTGACAATAGGCACACCGGAGCGACCAACACCTGATGATCGAATTGCAGGAAGCACTCGATCTGGTCCATAGAGAGAAATACCAGAGGATGAAATATGAGAATCAAGATGAGTTTCTCGGTCAAGAAACAGAGATTCTCTTTTTGAAGATGGAGGATACTCGGTGGAGATTACACTTTGAGATGCAGAAAGAAGTGAGGACTTGTCAGCCCAGGAATCCGTTTGGCGATCTTGTGAGGCAGGTGTATTGAACTATTAAAAAAAAGTTGCAACAATTCATTGGCAGTCCTAAAATATGATAAAAGAGGAGGTTGAACATAACCTAAGAGGAAAAAACTTACACTCTTTTCAAATAGAGGAAGAACACTATGATCAACTAAAAACTTCCTTAGGTGGCCCACCACTGCCTCTAGAGCCTTGAGAACCTTTAAGGTTTCTCCCTGCAATTCCACCATTCTCTCATCCGGACCAGCATAGAATGGCATCTCATCTGCAAGCATCGAATGTAGATGAGTAAGGGAATATTCAGAGAGTAATCATAGACGAATGACTATAGTAGGAAATGTATTATTATCTCAGAACATTATTATTTGCTTGCAGCTGTCGACTGAATCTCAAGGCTTGAAGTTAATAGTCATCATACTTGGTTACTTTGATTTATAACAGCATAATTGAGGAAAGAAATAACACTTATTTTATCTAACTATTGTCATGTACTTTTAGTTTTAGGTCATCTTTACCATATAACAGCAACAGAAAGATGTTGGTGAATCAGAGATTAAGTAAGCTTCTCTAAGGTTAGCGGACACTAGGTTGACATGCCACCTATACTAACAAGTTCAAATGTGGTGACAAGACTACCGTCTACTGAGAAACATTCCTAGGGATGAATGGGACTGAAATTTTTCTCAAGTTTATTGGCCATTAGGGGAATGGATTCACAATTTTATTGAGAACAAATTGTGAATCCATTACCCTAACGACCAATAAGCTTGACAGTTGGTATCAGAGCCACACTTTGTTCTCAATAGATTCAACTGTCATTGGTCTTTCGCTAGTTGACAATAGACTTGTACGAATACTCCCTTTCACCCGGTAGTTTCTACTCAAATGATTTTGTTTTGTTGTTTGATTTGAACAAAAGACACATACGAAAGATCATGGAAATTCTTCTTCGCTTTCATTACCAACTCTAATCCTTCAAACCAAACATGTCAAAATAACACGATAGATGCCTTTTTTCAATGGGCTAATGAATAAAGGGAGTTTTGACCTCAAGGGCCCTTCTCCTTTGGGGAGAAACATGGTAAGCTCTTACCATTAAGGAAGCTCAATCAGACAACCAATGAGAAGGGGTTTCTTTTAACCAATAGGAACCTTAAAAGGTAAAGTTGTAATCCCCATCGACACCAATGATCCTCTTAGATATTAGTATTTTCTTTAAGGACTCACTGTCTAGTCATTGAGACGAGTACTTACTTTGAAGATGAACTCCTAACTTGGCCACAATTGGAGACTAATTGCTTATGTGGAAGGGTGGCCTAACACTGCTCTTTCAGTATTCTGTCTCTACGAACTATCCAATTCTAAACTCTAATATAGAAAAACTTGTGAGGTTGCAATCTTGCAATGAGGCATCCCAAATTTCCACTTGTTACAAATGTATGATCCCAAAATTAAGGGAGAGCAAACAACCAATCTTCCTAACCAAATCACCCCTCTGGTCGAATAGTTGACCAATACAGAATTGGAGTGAGATCAAAAGGGTTAAAGAATAACGACTATGTACCTTATCATAAACACTGAACAAACCAAAGCTTAGTAAGGTGGATCAATTTTTACTAGACCCATTTGCATTTCTCACAATGATGGGAGTTTTCTGTTGATCTCCTGGTTTCTTTGGGACATTATTATTCTTTAGAATGATCCTTCCCTTGTTGTGAGGTTTTTAAGTGTGTGCTTAATAGTCT